AAAGGAGCAGCAGAATAGGGAAAAATTACGGATGTTCCGAGAGGGAGCTCAAATACCAACTGTTTCTAGGACCGAAGGACAGTTGTTGACACCTTTAAAAACACATATTAGGAACAAGGTGTCTATATAATAATAATAATAATAATAATTTAAAAAGTATTTTAGTCTATATAAATATCATAATCTTATATAAACCTTTTTATGTGACAAGTCTGTTTGCAGTGGATCCATTGCTTCACGCAGTTTAGTAATGAACGTGGTTACATTTTGTTGTTTATAAATGCCTGATGATGGTCATAACGGACCACGTAGCATGAAAACATTGTAATAAATGAAACTGATTTATTGATAATTTGATACTATCAGTTATTTATTGAAAGTTTAAAGCTGTTGCGATTGATGGACATATTTGTATATTAGTGACATACACAACAGGATGCCAAACATGTGAATGAAAATATACAGCTGTCTGTATGAAACAGTGTTGAGGGTACACCATACCTTGAGTAAGCAAGCGTGCACAAGAAAAGTCCTGTATATTCAACGATATTCTGATACTGTGATTTTGATTCACATATATTTTAAATGAAATGTAATAACTTTCTGATGGTTGTATAATGATCAATATCTGGTGATGGTGCAACCTTAAAGATATTTTAGACACAATATAGTAGAAGAAGATCTGAATTCTTTATGTAACATCTTGTCTGTTTTAAGTACAGTTCATCTGTTCTGTGTTAGTTTGAAAGTACCATATTTTCTGGACCATGAGACACTTTCTCCATAAAAAATGCAACCTAAAATTCTGCTGCATCTTATCGTTTGAAGGTATAATAAAAATGACCAGTTGGATGGAAGAATCAGATCATGATTTGACACCAAAAGGATGAATGGAATAGCCAACCATATCACAGGTTTGCAAGGGGTGAAAAATGTGTGGAAGCCTGTGAAACATGAGACAATTATGAAGTCTTTGAAGAACTTTGAAGAAAGTGAAAGTCTAGACAGTAAAATTAGTGATGAGTGTGACAGTAGTTACAGGGATTATTTTGGCGGTTCTGTGACATAATCATGTTGCCCCATTGCTGTTTGCATACTACTCATGAATTTGAGTTTCATATTTATGCACTAGATCACAGATTAAGTAGTATTATGTTTAAAAGTCTTTAAGTGGTTGCCACGAAGCAACATTCCAGATATGGAAAATTAAGAAATGAATGTACACATCTGTTTGAAATAGTTTTGGGCTTTCTTCTGATTATCACACAGTTCTGTGGGTTTCACCTACTTTCCATTCATAAAAGTAAGCTTTACATTACTTCAACAGTAAACAACCAACAATTGCCACCTGTCGAAGTTCTTTGTGTTTGGAAACATTTGTGACATTCATAGGTTGTCGTTTTACTGAAAGCCGCATTGCTCTAAGCTTCAAAGGAATAATCCCTGGGTTTCCACAACTGTTTTATTCAGTTTAACACAAAATTTCATATAAATTATTTGAACAGTGCAACAAAACCAAAACCAGACCGTCACACAAATGATTACAAACATCACCTGAGTTATTTGGAACATTTTGCTCTTTGTAAATTATAGTCATAACTATCAGTCATTCCACGTGCCAGCACATGTGCTTGAATGTTGGCACTTCACACAGTTATTCTGGGAAGGGTAAAGATAGCACTACAATTCAGTAAAAGTGATTGTAATTACATAGACTGTGGGTTTGAAATGATTGCTTGAAAGATTCTTTGTTAACTGAATTGTCTGTCACTCCAAAATGACCATATTATCTGGTCTGTTTTATTTTTCTTTCAGTACGTTGCTGCCCTTGATGAAATGGTAATAAATCTTCAGAAACTTCCAAAGTAAGTTGAACTGATGTGTATTTTCATGTGTCTGTATCTTCTCAGTAGTACATTTTTCTGACTCAAATAATTATATGTCAGGTTCTTTTAAACATGCGTAAATGTAAAATAGTTCCAGGTTCATTGGCTTTTGCAGCAATAAGTGGGGAGATAGTAAAGTAATTTTCATGCTACATCATATCTGAGAGATATATTTCTTCATAATTGATGGCTCTTTAGAAAGCTGACATGTTGGGTTTCATTATAAAGAATGATTGTCTGAATAAGCTATGTATTTTAGTAATGTATGTTAGTGTTACAAATTCTGGCATACTTGTTTGAACGTCAGATTTGCTTTCTATGTACTTTCATGTACTTTGTTGAGGCTTGTATTGTTTTTCATTATAATGTGTGGCAATATCTCTGCCACAAGAGCTGTGGTGTTTTCTAAAATCAGGACACTCAGTAGTGCACACTATATTTGCTGCAAGCAGAACGCATTTCTTTCCTCATCAAAAATTCTTGCTCTGATGGCTGGAAATAGTTTTTATCTAAGCGGTAAATTGCTCTCATTATAAAATGTACAAGGGTTGTCCGGAAAGTAATGCAATTAAGTTCATAAAAAAAATGTATTCAAGATATCGTTACAAACGTTTAAAATTCTTCATGTACTCCCCTTGTGTATCCACACACTTTTGCCAGCGACTTTTCATGCATGGTACGCATCCTGGAAGGCGTCAACAGGGACCTCGTTTATAGCCTTTGTCACGGCGGTTTGGATCGCTTCAGTGGTTCCAAAACTGGTTCCTTTCAGGGCGGTCTTGAACCTCAGGAACAAAAAGAAGTCTGCAATCACTCATGATCTTCACTCGGTTGTTCTTGTGGTCATCAGTCAACAATTTGGGGACGAACTTGGCACACACTTTCCACATGTGCAAATTGTCAATAACGATGTCGTGCACAGTGGTTTTCAGAATACTGAGAGTCTCTGCTATCATCCGAACGCTCATTCGACGATCGGTATTTAAAAGATCACGAACACGAGACACATTTTTGTCACTTTTGCTGGTTGATGGCCGTCCAGAGCGGTGGTTCACCTCTTCCCGGCCATTTTTAAACAACTTCAACCACCTGGAGACTTGAGAATAGGAGAGAGCAGAGTCCCCGTAGGCTTCCTAAATCATTTTGTGGGTTTCGGCGAGGCTTTTGTTCAGTTTTGCACAGAACTTGATCGCGTAATGTTTGATAGTTTTCTCCATTGCGCGTCATGACACAGGAGGTTCACGGAAACAGCGATCCTGATGCTCCCAGAGCTCAGAGCAGACTGAGTTTGGAAGCGTTGTGAAGCTAAGAGTCCCTCCCCCTTCCCAACCGGTCCGAACGCACTGCGACCAGGAGGAGCTGCAGGAAAAATTTATATATATATTGTAACGTGTTTACGTTACCGATCCCACTTCTGACACCAGTGTAACGTGTTTCCGTTACTGAAGACGCCGTAGAGATGGTTAATTGGTTTATTTAACAATCTACAAATAACGGCTACAATTAATTATCTTACAGTTGCGGGGTTTCACACTTTATAACCCTAATCGCATTAATCTGTTACCACTGTTGCGGGGTTTCACACTTTATAACCCTATGCGCAAATCAGTTCACTCTGTCTTCAGTAGTCTACACGTTTACAGTAGGGGAGCTTCGTATCACTGTATCACACGCTCCCAATTACACAATTACACACACGTCCGGATCTTCTTTCCGCGACGGCTGCTATACTCCAACTTGTAGTCGGCTGGCTGTTACTTTATAACTCGGAATGTCTTCGGCGGTAGCCACACTGGAACTCGAACTCGAACTGATCGATACGCACTGTGCATCCACTTATATAGCTGCAGTGCTTGCCTGTGGCGTAATGAGTGCCACGTCACAGTAGGACGTTGATTACGGTTACGTTAGCGTTGCGCGTTACGTCACCGCGTGACGTC